AAGGTAGGTGTAATATGGAAGGGACTGCTATTCTGTATTTACCTGAAAGGGAACTATGTTTGAAGTAAAAAACCCATAGCAGGAGCCATCTTCTAAAATGAAACTTGTTAACACGAGAGCTAGAGATGTCTCACAGACAGTTTCCAGATATTCATGTTACAACGTATGTACTGTCAGGTAGCAGCTATTTCCAGGAAGGAGTTCTCTTCATGATGCTTTTCCTTCAGAGCAGTATAAAAAGAGTAAGCTCTGTCCCAAGCCAGATGGTAAACCAAGATTAAACTACCACACAAGAGGTTAAATCTGGACTTGTCTTCTCAGCTTGTTTTCTGAAAGAACTTTTTAGCTAAGATTTTTCTGTGAATAGCTGTCTAAAAAGATGGGGGTGGCGTCTTTAAACCAACATCTGGTCTAAGAAAAGAGGCAATGAACAATTTTGTAATTATATTGGAAACGCTTAATCTACAATAATTGGAACATTCATACATAATTTTGTCAAGAGTCAGCTTAAAATAATGCACACAATACATCAACTTCAGAACATCCTAGATGCATCAGTTGGTTATATTCACTGGCAGTAAGTTTCTCTCCTCTGCAGGGTCATGTATGTCCACCAACAGGGCTGGCACTGCTCTCCCTGACACACCAAGTGGAAGTCAAGCTTCACGTGCCAGCAGGCTGACAGATTCCATCTGTGCTGATAAAGCCTACAAGTTTTTACCCATGCACAGTATTGAAGTAAGTTCCTATAGCAGCCAAGCAACCACTGGCTCTATGCACAGTACTGTGGAGGTCAGCAGCTGAACAGTAGCCAGCGATGAACCAAAGCAAGCTTCACATCTACCTCCAGGGTCAAGACCACAGCTGGCAGAGGAAGGGACTATTTGAGCTTAAGTGCAGTAGCTCCAGCGAGCCTGAGGATCACATGACTTTAATGGGCCTGTGAAGACTGACCCTATCCTTGTCTCCTTCACACAGTACATGGTTGCATTAGAGCCAGTCCCTATTTAACAAACACCAGTTCAAGCCCAAAACATTAACATCTTCACCTAACTGGTACAAAACTTAACTATATCTTACCATGAATTATAAGTACTTGTGCATACTTTATTAACAAGAGTATAAGATCTAGAATTCCTAAAAAGAACACCACAGAATCTTAGTCTAAGCCTGGGCAGTTGCACACATACAGGAATTACAAGGCTTGGAATAAGAGACAAGCAGGTAAGGGAGTCTTCTTGACCAAGAGGCAGGGGTGAAGTGCAATCAACTTCATTTGAGCTTGCAACCTGGAGCTTTATACAAATTGCAAAGTCAGTTTAATTACTTAGTTTATTTCTTTATGCTGTTAGAAACAACTATGGCTGGATAGAACAACAAATAGCAGGAAGTGAGGGTGAACTGCTTGTAGTCCTTCACTCATCCACTAATGCATACAAAACAAGCATCGCAAGTTATTCACTGGCCTATTTACGATGTCTGACATTGAACACCACCTCTAGGGTGATGCTCATCATCTTCATAGATTTCTCCATTATAGTGGTGTTTTCTTTTTTGAGATGGATCAAAGTCCACTAAATCCACTTGTTCCATTTCCTCAGTTTCTTCTATTTCTTGCCTTGTAGGTAGCAGTTTTTCAAGTAAAGACAACTTCTCTGAGGAGAGGAAGCCACTCTCTGGGAAGTTCACCTGAAATCATAAAAAACAGGTTACTCAAGTCTACCTGAATTAGCCCTTTTCCATCCCACTACAGGTCAAGTATCTGCCAAAGTCAGCTTTAACATCACAGATGGCAAACCTAGTGCTTAAAAAAAATACTAGTCACAAGGGTATTTTTTTAATGCCTACAAGAAGTTAGGTTCTGACACTGGCAACTCAACCAAATCTTATCCAACATTCCTCTGTTTCAGGCTGCCCTCTGGAATCACCTTAGAAGCAAAGTACAGAACATATCAACGTTAGAGATGTGGTCGAATCGCCTCTAAAACTGCTGCAGACGGAGCCTGCTGCCACAGCTCCCAGCATCAGTGTCTCTCCAAAGAAATCAGTATTTCCTGCCCACTCCTTTGCTCCAGGCACAGGGGAAGTTACTGATCAATCCACCTTTCCTACCAGATGACAGGAACTAAAGAAAATGACAAGCAAATTCACAAGGTGTCCAAATAAATTATTCTCGTACTCAACACACTTTCAGCACAAACTGTTCCAGAAGTTCTCTTTGTTCTGAACTGTAATTCTGTTTGATGAATTACATGTTCTCACCACTGTCAAACACAAATACCAAACCAGGATACCTGGTAACTGGTATCTCTTCTTGATTGAGGTAATGCTTAGAGGTTAAACTTTGGATGGATATTCAGTGCTGAACTGTGCCACGAAGTAAGCTGATACACTTACCCTGAATTCTATGACCAGACGTCCTTTTTCATATGGTCTGCGATAAACTGGCATACCTTCATTCAACACACACTTAACAGCCCCATGTTTGACAACCTGGCCTAGAAAAAAAGACAAAAAAAGAAAAGAAAAAAAAAAAGAAAAAAAAAAAGAAAAGGGGTATCCATGCAGGCAACAGAAGCAGTTTTAGTTTAAACTCCCTTCAATATTTATGTAAGCTTCTACATTGTGGTAAGACAGCTACATCAATATGTAATAGTCTAATGGGGACTTACTGCCTGGTAACTTCTGAATAGGAAAGCAGGTTGATGTCTACATTACATTCTTGTAACCTTGTTATGCTTCCCAAAGGAAGCATACTTACAAATTTATTAAGTGCTCCATCAGTTCCAAGGCTGAAAAAGTGGTTTTCAGAGACCCACGGCCTTCAATTCTCATGAGGTATCCTCAGGATACAAGTATGTCCATGAGGTATGGTCTGTTACTATATCACGCAAAGAGAAAGTTACTGCTCACTGCTATCCAAAAATCCTTTTTTGTTTGAAGATTTGTACTGCAAAGACTAGGAAAAAAACTTGACACCAGTACACATCCCTCGTTCATCAAGATGGGATACTTCTGTTCCCTTAAATTTCCAGCTTATATTCACTGTGTACTTGGGACTCCAAGCAGAAAGCAAACCAACACTTACCAGGATGGGAAGTAACAATAATAGTTCTGTTATCCAGCGTTGTGATAGGCTTTCGAAAACCACACAGTGCTTCAACCAGCTGAATATCCATAGACATGAGAAGGTCTTCATCTCGTCTAAGGCAGAATCAAAAACAGTCACAGAGAGGGTGAAACAGTAAAAGGATCATACTCAATTTCAGTATTTAACTTGGCAAGGACAGTAAAGCTGTAATTTTAGTAGAAGTTCAGGCAATTAACTAAAGAACACTGAATACTGATGCAGCACCGCAAGCCAGCAATTACAGGAATGACAACCATGCTGAGAGCCATTACTGACCAAGCCGAGCTACCCAAAGTACATAAGTGTTTATGGAAAAGAAATAAATACAGCAAGGCTCACTTGCATCCAGTTCCACTTCACTGCTCCTTCCCAATTCTAGGAAAAAGCTCTCTCTCAGCCTCCTAAACACTGCACATAGGACAATTAATCCCTTTGTTTACGTAGATTAATACTTTTAAGTGCACCAGCTAGCTCTACATTATGCAGTTGATGGCCTCCCTGGGTTATGATGGAAGTACCTTCTAGAAAGCACCAAGAAGTGTCTGGAAGAGATAACATAATTGCTTTAATTGCCCACTCTGACTTCAGTATGGCAATGCTAGTGATGTCTGCACGCACCGCGTGTTCAAGGGATAAAAAATCCTCTGGCCTGTTCAAAGAACTGAGTGATTTCACTCACTCTGTTTTAAAGGTCTCTGGAGGGAGACTTGCCTGCAAAGTTAATTTTAGACTCTGATAGGAGAGGGGGAACATTCCACTTGTCCCAGAGCAGCATGACCTCAGCATAGCCCCACAAGACCAGTAAGATCAAGGGTTATCTAAGGACACTAGAACTGAAGGCAGTGGGCAGAAATATGGACACAAATAAGCCAGCAGAGCTGGACTTCAAGTCCCAGGTAACTGTGCAAACAGTTTGTCCCAGACTGTCCATTCGGCATAGCTGATTCAGTATCTGGTTTCACTGCAAGTTAAGAAAAATCAGCTGAGTAAGCTTATCCAAAGCAAACAGAACTCCTTCTTAACCTGTGAGCTCAGTGTTCTTTGGCACAGGGTTCTGGCACCAACTTCCAGAGCTCAGCACCACACAGGACAGTCAGGCAGACCAGCTGTGGGTTTCCCAAGAAGCTCTGGCTCACCATTCCTGTTTACAAGTACCATGTTGGTGCCTGGTGTTGAGACGAATGCTTTCTCTAAATCCACTGATTCCCTTGCTCTGAACAGAAGCAGTGAGACACCAAGTGCAACACATTTCTGCGAGATGACCAGTGTTGCTTTTAATTGGACCAAAATGAACTGGACAGCCTCATTACACAAACAGTAACTTGAAACAAGGAGGCTTGCGACACCAAGCAGTACGGTTCAGTAACACGAAATACCTGAGACACCGTCAATGCTGCTTGCTTGAGTCACTTTTGCCTTCCCAAGAAAGAACAGACAGGACTGATTACCCTGCCCAGTGCACTCAGGCAGGAAATGAAGCGTGGGAAACTACCTTTGGTCAGCTATATTCAGTAACTTTGTCATAAGAATTATGGCCTGAGGAGAAGTGAACACACTAGAAGTTTTATGTGCCTTGAAGCCAAGTGGGCAATGAACAGCTGCCTACACTAAGTGGTAATTTTCTGAGGTCTAACTGAAGGAATGCTGTCCTAGAAAGAGCAAGGAGATAATAACAAATATTCACATCTATTAAACAGAATATCAATATTTTAAGAGTTCTTAAAATTCCAGATTTGTAAACTCTTAATAACTGTAACTAGTTTTGTTTGTTTTCCATCCACTTTCACTGCCAAAGCTCATGTAAGACCATCTCATGCTACTAGAACACAAGTAGCTGTGACTAGTTGTACCAGGATTCCTGCACACCTCAGTGCTCCTCTGGCCACCCAAACAAACTCACAGCTGACTTCCAGCCACCTGATCCTACCTGACATTTTCAGTAGACAAAAGGTGAGTGGTAAACAAGGAAGCATGGAGATAAGCACCTCAGTAGTTAATGCAAAGGACTTCCAGAGTTTTTTACCTAGTAAATACAGAGTGGTCTTTTTGATCCAAGACAATAATAATGTCCCCTGGCTCTAGTCCTGGCTCTTGGTCCCCTTCACCATGGAATGTTATTTTCTGACCATCCTTCATTCCTATTGCAGAAAACAAACAAACAAACAAACATTAATTTTTAATCTTTTTAAGCGAAAATCAACAGTAAGAAATATTTTTATAGGCACAAGCTGGTACCAGGAGACCTCTTGATCTTTCACTTAGAACATCAGCACTGTATGCAATGCTTTTCTTGAAGCATTCCTTTTTTTTTGTTTTTAATCCACTCACATGACCAACGGATTGCAGTGGTGCCAACCCGAATTATGTCTCAAGTTCATTAAGTTTAACTGTAGTGCAAAACAGCCACCTGACAAGATAAAGTCCTGAAGGGAAATAGTATCAAAACAGCTTTCGTTATATGCACAATTACTAAAAAGAACACAGAAACACCGCACACAGAATACATTTTAAGTGCAAATGACCAATCCATTTCTTCAGCTTTACAGATACATGTAGCAGAGCTCTGTATGAAACATGATCTCAGTGCCTGCTGAGTGCAAGAAGCACTCTCCCTTGGACTGTGTGACTGTAACTGTCATGTAAGAAACCCATTTCACCCACACACAAGTTTCTCTATCATAAATTCTATCTGCCTTATGTTAGCTCAGTCTGCTTTTCTATATGGAAGGGAAAAGAAACTCTTCTCAATGATTTCCCTGTTCAAAATGTCAGTAACATACCCCTACCAGCCCTTGTATTTAATGTTACTGTAGGATGTTCTCTGTTAAAAACAACTCCAGGCATTGCACACAGTGTGCTTACACATACAGCAGTTGCAGGGGATAATCAGGTGCAAGACTGTCGAAGCCATGTGCTTGTCAGCTTGCTCTATCTTACAAGCTGCACTACTCCAGAGACTTCTGCCACCACCTTTTAAGCAGCTTCCTCAACAGAGACGCACTTGTCACTCAACAGTCTCATACTCTCCCATTACAGTGAGGGTTTGTGTCTCAAGTTGCATTTTGACAGGCAAAGAGTACCTGCACTGAGCAGGACTGTCAGGGTTGCACAGCAAACAGAGTTCTAAGCATGGGAGGCTTAGCACTGTCTCTGCACCCTGTTCCTATAGCAGACCTGGTTCCCCTTCACACTGAAACACAGTAGAAGTGATCGGAGTCTGCAGGCTT